CTACTGACTGGGAAAAAATATTTGGCAATAACATCTCAGACAACGGTCTTATAACAAAAGTTTACAGACTACTACTGGGCCTCGAGAAGAAAAGATTGTTAACAAAATGGGCAAAAGACAATGCACCGACTTCACAGAGGAAGAAATCTGGATGGCCAACAGACACATGAAGAAATGTTCAAAATCACTGGCAATAAGTGAGATGCAAATCAAAACCATAGTGAAATATCATCTCACCCCAGTAGCAGTGGCGAAGTTTGGTAGGGCAGCAAATAATAAATGTTGGGGAGGATATGGAGAAGCGAGAACTTTCATGCATTGTTAGTAGAATTATAAAACAGTACAACCCCTCTAGAAGGCAGTTTAGGGTTTTTTAAAAAAGTTGACCAAAGAAAATCCGTATGACCCAGCTATTCCGTATGACCAAGCTATTCCATGGCTAGAAATATGCCCCAAGAAAATTAGAAACGGAGATACAAATGGAGATTTGTCTGAACATGGAAACAGCCCAAATATCCAACCACTACTGAACGTACTGAGAAATTCTAGTGTATCCACACAACGGAATATCATGCAGCACTCAGAAGCAACAATTTTGAAAAATACTACATAACTTGGGAGAGACTGCAGAGCATTATGCTGAGTGAACTCACTCAGTTATAAAAGGACAACTATTGCATAAGGCCATTATTGTAAAGACAGAAAATTAATTAGTAAAATATGTATAGGGACCTACAAGGGAAAGGGGTAGGAGCTGAGGGTTGAGGATGGGTAAAGGCGACTATAATTTTGTCGGTGGAGGGAGGAGGTGAATGAAATGGGAAGGATCCAGTGGGGACCTGAAAACACAAGTTAATGAAGAGCAGGGTCCAATGGTGATTAATTTTAGAAAACAAAATGTGTGGGAATGATTGCATAAAACACACTGTGGATGAAGAACAGTGTGAAACACAATGTATATGAACTCTGTAAACAAACTATTAAAAAAAAAAAGCAAGCACAGACCTGGGGTTCTGAAATGAATGGTACATCACTGGGAAAATAAACACGATCATAAACACAGCAGGGAATTAAGAGCCCCTGCAGCGGTCCTGGACACTGTTTCTGATGATGTCATTGATCCGACAGACAGACTTGAAAGGGTGAGAGGATTATGAGTTCTGATAATTACCAACCAATGAGCGATGCTGTAGCCAACCTCTACAGACAGGGCTTCACAAGAATTTAAAGACTGATTCTTCACAATGCATGAAAAGGACACACAAAATCAGAGATGTGGAAATATACTGCAGTTAGGCAAATTTCAAAGATTAATGTCTGCTAATTAGTTTTGAATGAAAGTGATTTTCAGCTTGTAGACAAGCATTCTGATTTCTATATGAAGACAAAGAAACTGGTGTTATTAGGCACACGTGTTGTGCAATGGTTGCGAATGTTCATGAAGGTCAGGCCCTGCCCTCCAGGAGAAGTGGGGAGGGAAAACTGCAGCCTGAAAAAGCAAAGATGGCTGTGCTGCTAACAAAGGCAGAGGATTTTCAAATGAAAGGCACACAATCTCCATTACTTGCTAATGAACTTTGTCATACAATGTCCTTTCCCGTGCAAACTTCATAAAAATAAAAATTCTAACTACATACATGAGTTGAAGTATCTGACTATATTGTGGAACAACATGGGGTCAAACTGAAATGTATCATTCTCTCGACTACAGAAGAAAAATCCTGTTTCAAGCTGGCTGAGAGGAAATAACATACAAAGGACACACAAAGTTATTTCAAACAAAAGGCAGATACAGTAAATAGCATACATTCCCTGTGTATACATTACTTGGTATTCATGAACTTTACCAAATATTTCTTTTAAGAACAGTGAAACAATATGTAAACCTTAAGAAGTAGTGAAGGCAAGGACATTTTTAAAAAGCACTGTTCACATTTAACATACCTTTTTTAGAACCAATAGGTCGTTTCAGGAGATTTTCTAAGTGTCACAAACAAGCAACATGTATATACTGCAATTTTATTTCAATCACACAAAGTTAGCATGTAGGAAATTTCAATGAAACAGGATGGTAAAAATAGCAGAAAATGAGAGAAAAATCTCAAAAGAAGTACACGTAAAGCATGAGAATTCAACATTCATTAGTGTTTCATCTTCAATTCTGATTGACACTTGAAACTTGCAAATGTTTAAACAAACTTTTGAATCATGATGACTATTCTGAAGAGATTTCAGCACCAGCACTAAGATTTGTACATTCAGTTTGCAATTGACTTTTAGCCATTGACAGAGTGTATAGTACAGATTTGTCACAGATCAGATCACAGTGTTAAGGAAAGCAGTGCCTCCCTGTAATTAGAAAGGATCCCCTAAACTGGACTCAGCTTAAGACATCGCATGTACAAAAGCACATAACCATCGTAATAATGTGGCTCCAAGGAACAGAGTTTAGAGAATAAGGAAAATAACTTAAGCTTCATTTTCCATTTTAATTACTGAAATCTCTAACAAAGACACAACTCTCACTCATGACAGCAAATGTATACAAAAATTGAACCCAACTTCTTGGAGAGAACACATTTCAAAATCTGGGATACGAATTCAAAATCATGGAAAATATGATCTGATTTCAAACTGGTTCTTTTTTGAATCTTATACAGACACCATGATAATATTAGACCAAGGCACAAAACGTTTAGTGCAGAAACCAGTTTCATTTTAAGATCTAGCAATTTAAGCCTTTTTCTCTTACTTCGGACCACCTGTTCCTAGGACTCTAACCTACTATGGACTATTTAACTTAACCAAGAAAATAAATCAAAAGTGATTTCTGATCAGATTTACAAAGAACATAAATGGTCATATCCTCCAAGTGTTTGCATTCCAAAAGTAAAATAAAGATGAAAACGCCTCCTATTTATCTTAGAAAATAGTACCCTCGAAGCTTGTGGCATCTTAATTCCATTACCATGACTATATGACGGTGGCAGTTGCTAGAAACAGTAGACAGTATTTGAATTGTGACAGCTCATCCATCACAGTTTCATTTGAAAACAATGTTTCTAAACAGGAACTACTCAACAAGGAAAAATAACTTCCCTCATTCAAAACTCTCTGAAAGGAGCAGGGCAGCATTTAAGAAACTATCCTACCAGTAAGCTTGTGTCTAATGAACCAAGAATGAACGTAATGAATGTAAGAAATTCAGAAAGCCAATGAAAAATGGACTCTCCTTCAAAATTTTAGTGTAACTTTGATAATCAAAGATTGCAAAACAAATATGGCACTTAGAACAACTCAAGGATAATCATGATGGGTAAGCCTGGAGTATTTTTCATTTGTTAAATTTTCCAAAAAGCTATTAATTGCAACATATTGTATTCCTCCTATTCTAATCTTACCAGTTTTGAAGAAACGAGAGTGGATTCCACATATTCATTCTCTCTCTCTCTCTCTCTCACACACACACACCCCCAGAGGCATGCGCGCACACATGGTGGTAAGCAAAGGATCTAATTTCTTCTTCCTACCACCTAAATTTCACTTTATCTATTTTTTTTTAAAAAAAGAAATTATAAAAGCAGGACTCCTTATTGGTTTCCCTTTACTTAATGACTCTCTATGGCTCTCATTGCTGCCAGCACTGTTATTTCTTGTATTTCAGCATAACAACACGCAGTATTTCTGCTTCAGTCAGGAGCAGGTATGCACTGACTACAGGGGTTGGGGAGGGAGTACCCAGTTAATAGGAACCATGAAACTTAGTCCTCATTTTTCAAAATTTCACAACAAGCTCCACTTCTTGGGAATCTCAGAATCATGTTTCAGGTCATTAAGATTACTGAAGTTAAAATGCAAATGGCTGAAGACATGATGGAAAAGATTAAGTAATTTGATCTGTTAACCTATTTGCCAATTAGAGTCACAAAATAGTCCTCACTCTTAGTCATGCAGGTAATTGAGAAGAAGATAGTACAGAAAGAAATTAAAAGAAAATGTTATTCCTTCCCTTCCTCCCACTGTCCTAGACTCTACAAAATGTACTCCCTGGACGAGGCCTGGAGAAGCCCACTAAGTATTAGTGTGGCATGCATTACACTCTGCAATTTAAAAAAAGCTAATTTTGTGGTGACTGTCATTATATTATAAAAATGTCCACATGCAGAAGTCTAAAAAAGATCGAAAACCTACAGTAAATCTACAAGATAGGGTTTTACATTTGACCACTGGTTTGTGTTCTATAGGAGTCAAAGATTTGGTAAAGCATTGTAACAATTTAGGAAGGCATCAAAATCTTTCAATTCTGGATGAATTTTATGTTTTAAACTACAAAATTGCATGAAGGCTAATTCGAAAGACTTCCTATCATTCAGAAGTTCCTCAAGCTGAACACACCATCTTCAGGATACTTACTTATAAATATCATCCTTTGAAAACACACAATTCCATTTGTTCCATATCTTGGGATCTTAACCTATACAGGGCTGATCTCAGTTATTCACAGACTATCCAATATGATAGGAAGACAAACCTGAGAGAAACATTTACAATACAATAGCATAATTTGCTAAATTCTTCATTAGCACATTCTGGGAAAGAGTGAGAGAGGAAAAAAGAAAACTTCTTAAGCCTTTCTCTTCTTTATTTTAGCAATGGATTGTGGAAAATGAACTATTTTCTCATGATATGAAAAACTCCCGTGACCTTGTCAGATGAGAATAGCTGTTCTGCATAACTGTTTGTTACAGACTCTCCTACGACTCCTCTCCAGCCTGCTTGAAAGGTCAGAAAAATGCGTGAACAAGAAGGGAAAGCTACCACCAGGGAGACACATGTGAAGGTTTCCAAAATCGGGTAGAGTTTCCCTTCTTCTGACGGTCTGTCTTCAGTCTTCTTCCAGCTCACCAAATGCAGAGGGTTTGTTGCTGCTGTTGACAGTTGTTGCTTCTGGGTATTTCTTTTCTCCAGATCAAAGTCCTATTTCTCCTTGGTTTGTTTCTCTATGCCGTATTTGACTTGTTCAGTTCCTGCCTGATTGCTAGAGAGGAGAAGCCAGAAATATCATGATAAGGTAAGCATACGAATGTACCATTCTTAAGCCATCTTAAAGACTGTGTTTAAACTATAGTAATTAAAAAATAACATTGATTTTGCATTTGTTCCCACCCCTGAGAACAAGTGAAAATATTAATTCTACAGGCCCAAGAACAGGAGGGTAGTGGAGTGTGTGTCTCTAGAGGCGACCTTCAGAAAACCTTGTTCTTCTGCTCTGCGCCTTCGCACTATGACCTTTACAACCTGAGGAGGTTGTCTCCCCTGGCATTCACACATCATCTCCATCTTAATCCACAACAACTGAGAAGCATGTTATAGGCTCTTTTGCAAATGAAACAAGTTTCCTATGCATGCTTGTTCTGAGCACATTCTGTGTGGGAAGGCCACTGCTCCTCCTATCAGAAGCTAACTGCACAGCAGGGATACAGAAAAGTGAGGCACTGAGTGACACAACCAGAGCCTTCTTAATTCACTGGCAATCTCTTAAAAATTATGTTTATTACACAGCACTTTACAGAAATTATCAATCTGCTTTGACACTCACCATCAATGAGTTCTTCTTTCAGTTTTGTTAATTCTTTTCTCATTTCATCTAAAATATCCTACAATATAAGACAAAAAAAAATCAGAAATTCAGAAAAGTAGAGAGCTGATAAAACGATTGCTGCCAATCTAAAGTTTTAAGAATGTATAAAATATGATTTGTGGCTTTTGCTTCGGAAGTCCATTTCTATTTAGTGATGGGCCTGGTAAACCTTGCTCTTTCTTTCTGCCCTCTTGATACACCTCAGCTTATGCTAGAGCAGGAGCACGGGCAGCCTGGCAAGCAGGGGCTGCACTGCTAACACAAAGCAGGCAGCTTTAACGCCCCTACTGCTCCCCAGAAGAAAGACAGGCCCTGTCCTCCCATGTAGTCCGATTTACTGGTTCTGAAAATCCGCAGAAGGGTCAGCTCTGAGTCGGTTCCAACTCGATGGCACTGAACCACAAGAGACACCAGGGTCTTAGTGAAACAGATGCCTCCTCAGTGAAGAACCCCAACCCTTGATGACAGTTCTGCTGTGAATCTATCCTCTAGTGCCCGTCTCATAGGTGACACAGTGAGATCTTCCAAGGATAAAGAAGGGTAAACTGGACCATAGTTCTTGGCAAATTTGTCATCTGACTTGGAGTACAGGGGTAAATCACAAAACTAAAGTTTAGAATTGTTGTGTGCCACAACAATTGTGTAGCTGACCCTCCAGTGTGTTTTCAGAGGCTGTTCATTGTAGGGGAGGAGATTACCCAACCTCCTCCTGTGGTGCAGGTGATGGATTCAAACCACAGGCCTTTGGGATGGCAGCACAGATTCCTATTACTAGGCCACTAAACATTAGAACTAGCACTTTTCAAAATCCTTCTTAAACATCTGCTTGCTAGCACCACTTCTCTGGCAGCCACTATGTCAATCCATCTCTCTGGGGGTCGTCCTCTCGTTCGCTGAGCCTCCATCTTTTTCAGCATTATGCCTCTCTTCAAGGACTGGTTCCTTCAGAAAATTTGACCAAAGTAAACAGAACAAAGTTTACCATCCCTGCCTTGAAGGAGTACCCTGGTTCCACCTCCTTGGTTGTATTTTTTGTTTGCTTGGTAGTCCATGGTATATTCAGTACTCTTCACCTAAACCACAACCCAAAGGCATCGATGATTCGTCTGTCATCTCTGTTAACTGTCCAACTTTCAGGTGCCTGGGTAGTAACTGAAACACCAAGGCTTGGCTCAGGCACACTTCAGTGTGTGCTCTTGAGAACTCTGGAGAGGTGCCTGACAGCAGAGTTTCCCTATGCTCTGGATTTCCTGACTGCTTCTACCAAGGGTGTTGATTATGAACCCAAATAAAATCAAATTGTTGTCACCTTTAATCTTTTATCCATCTATCAGGATGTTAACTATTTCGGTCTTCTTGATGTTGAAATGTAATCCATATTGAAGACTGTCATCTTTGATATTATGCAGCAAGGTTTCATGTCCTCATCAAATACAAGCAAAGTTATGTCATCTTTGTAATGTAGGCTGTTGATGAGTCTTACTCTGATCGTGATGTCACATTCTTCTTCATATGATCCAGCTTTTCTAATTCTTTTCAAGTGTATTTTGAATTAGAGTAAAAATATAGCTATCTCTTTTTACATTAAGAGTCAAGCTCATCTCATTTGGTCCAGTGTTTACAATCTGCTGTAAAAATCGACTCCAAGTTATCACATCCTGGTGACCACAGAATTCCCTACCACCTAACTGGGGGTCACGGCTGTCTGTTGCTGATTCCAGCTCGTGTGATCTCATATCTGCAAAAGACAACTCCACAGGATTCATAAGCAGCTTACAGCCTACTGTCGGGAGATGTCTATGTGGCCTGGCCCACCAATCTTTCCACTAACACTCAAGGACACTTAACTTGTTCCACCTGACATTAGTTCTATAATACTTGTCTAAGCATAAATTCCTAGAAGTGAAATTGCTGGGTTCAGGTAAGAATATGCACTAAGACTTTTGACGTGTTTCCTCAAATTTCCCTTTAGAAACCATGATGAATACACAAAGTTCCAATGATCTTGCCCAAAGCTTTTTTGGTTCCATTTTTGCCAATGTGGCAAATGAAAAGCAAGAAGTCTATTGTTTTTTAGCAACTGTACATGAGCTACTAGAGTTAAATTTGGTCCTACTAAGTGATGAGTCCCCTACCCTTCACTGATGGGGAAAAATAGGGCTTTTGCAAAAACAACAGAGAACTAAAGTAATTTTAATTTGTATAAAAATATTTAAATCTGGGATGAAGGGTGGGCAGGGAGAAAAGTGCAATAATGAATGAATGGAAATCCAAAGTCTCTATAAATTGTCACTGAAATTCATAATAAAAAATATAAACAAAAACTATTTGAGAAATACAGAAACTTCAAGTAATAAATGTTGAAATTTATAAATAAGGTAGCAAAAACAAATTTAAATATAAATTTTTGTTCTTTATAAGTAAAATCATGATCAAGTATGCACGTTGTTGTTGTTGTTATGTGCCATCGAGACACCTGTGACTCATAGCGACCCTGTGTACAACAGCTCTAAATCCTGCTCTATCTCTTGCCAATTTCATTGTCTCCAACACATCCATCCCCATGACCCCAATGATTGAATCAATCCATCTCATCAAGGGCCTTCCCCTCCTCCACTGTCCCTCCACCCTCCCAAGCACGACGTCCCTCTCCAAGGACTGAATCCCACCTTGCAACATGTCCAAATTATGTCAGATGGACCTTCAGAATCCTTGCCTCCAAGGAGCAGCCTGGCTTCACGGTCTCCAGGACAGACTTGGTTTTTTCTCCCAGTAGTCCATGGTATGTATATTCAATATTCTTCTCCAGCACCATAGCTCAAAGGCATCAACTCTCCTTCTATTCTCTCTTGTCATTGTGCAGCTCTCTGATACACACCAAATTATTGCAAAGACCATGGACTGTATCAGGCACACCTTAGTCTCCAGACTGACACTGCTGCTCTTCAGTACTTTGGAGAGGTCTCTAACTACAAGAGTTTCCTAATGCAATTTGTCTTTTAATTTCCTGGCTGCTGATACCAAAAGTGTTCATTTGTAGAGAGAAACAAACTGAAGCTGCCAACAATCTCAATCTCTTCACCATCTATCATGATGCTGTTAATTGGCCCAGTGGTGAGAATCTTTGTTTTCTTGATGATGAGCTTCAATCCATATTGCAGTCCTCGACCTTCTGCAGCAAGAGCTTCAGGTCCTCCTCAGTTTAAGCAAGTAGGGTTGTGTCAATCGCATAATGCAGTTTGTTGATGACTCTTCCACCAATCCTGATGCCACACTTCTCCTCATAAAGCCCAGACTCCCGGATAATCTGTTCCACATATAAACTGAAAAGATATGGAGATAGGACACATCCTTGACACACATTTCTCCCACTTTTGAACCATGCAGTGTTTCCTTGCTCTATTCTGACAACTGTCTCCTGGTCCAAGCATAGGTTTCACATAAACACAATCAAGTGTTCTGGGATTCCCATTCTCCTCAGAGTCAACCACAGCTTCTTGTGATCCTCATAGTCAAATGCCTTTGCACAGTCAACGAAACACAGACAGACATTCCCCTCTGGTACTCTCTGCTTTCAGCCATAATCCATATTCCATTAGCTATAATATCCCTAGTGCCACAGCCCCTTCTAAATCCAGCCTGCACTTTGGGTAGTTCTCTGCTGATGTGCTGTCCAGTCATTTTTTGGATTATTTTCAGCAGAATCTTGCTTGCATGTGATATCAATGATGTTTGTTGTTGTTGTTATATGCCGTCGAGTTGCCTGCGACTCATAGCGACCCTATGTACAACAGCCCTAAACTCCACTCTGTCCTGTGCCAATCGCACTGTCTCTGACACTCCCATCCCAATTATCCCAGTCATTTTCCACACTCTGTGGGATCACCTTTCTTTGTAATGGAACACATATAGATCTCTTCCAGTCAGTAAGCCAGGTGGTTGTTCTCCAGATTTCTGGGCACAACTTGGTGAGCACACCCAGGGCAGCGTCTGTTTGTTGAAATATGTCAGTTGGTATGCCTTCAATTCCTGAAGACTTGCTTTTTGGCAGTTCTTTCAGAGCAGCTTAAACTTCTTTCTTCAACACCACAGGCTCTTGCTCATACGTTGTTTGATGAAATTCTTCTGTGTCTGACAATTCCTTTTGGTACAATGACTCTGTGTAGTCCTTCCATTGTCTTTTAATGCTTCCTGGATCACTTAATATTCTGTCCAAAGCATCCTAAGTATTGCAACTTGAGGATTTTTCTTTTTGTTCTTCAGTTCCTTCAGCTTAAGGAATGCTGAGGAGTTTGGCTCTTTTGATTTTCTGACTTACACATTTGATTTTCTCCTTTTCTCCCCCCCCCCCCCATTTCACTGTAATACTTTACTTTGTCTTCCCGCACTGCCCACTGGAATCTTCTGTTCAATTCCTTAATATCTTGATTTATTCCCTTTGCTTTGGCTTCTCGGCACTCCAGTGCAATATTCAGAGTCTCCTCTGACATCCTTCTTGGTCTTTTCTTCCTCCTCTGTCTTTGTAATGACCTTTTGCATTCTCCCTGGATGATATTGTTATCCTCCCACAGCTTATCCAGTCTTCACTCATTAATGTCCAAGGCCTCAAACCTGTTCCTGAGATGGTTTACGTACACATGAGACTTCTGTTTAAAAAGTACAAATATAAGAAACGCACAGCTGCACACTCACCTGCTTCAGTCTGTCATAGTCGAGCCCCTCTGTCTGCACTCCATTGGCACTGGGCTGTGAGGAGGGAGCTGACTTTGGTCTGCACAAATGACATTTCAAAAACATGTAAATACAGCTTACAGTACTTAATGACTTTATTGATATCTGCAAATTTACCAATTCAAAACCAGATTTAGTTACAATTCTTATGTAAAAGGCATTTTGTTAAAAGGCTCACTGCCAAAACTGTAGAACTTAGTAGATTACAACGCAGAAAGCATGTTTCACTCCTCTTTGCACTTTTGATTGTATTTACAAATGAAATCAGAATCCAGCAACAAGACTCCTCAGGAAAGAGAGGAAGACACATTCTAAGTAGAAGGCAGGTGACCAGTGTAAAGCATGTTGGTCAAGGCAAAGATGGAGCAACTGAGGCTCCAAGGAACAGTCTTGTTTTTCCAGTTTTTGCATTTTTAATACTGTGTACATAAAGACTTAACTATTTTATTCTAAGACTCATCTGTTTACAAATCCTAAAACTAATGTAGGGGGGAAAAGAAAAGAGGAACATTTCTGGAAGTGTAACGTCTTCATTCCATTTCAAGTTTTAAAGTAAGAAAGAACTTGTCATAAGCATATTTTGATCCTACTGGTAATTTAACTTTCTCTATGAAGTGAAAACTTCATAGAGGAAAGAGTCAAGAGTGTTGGAATGGGATTTGTTCCAAGCCAACTTCTCTCATAAGTATTTTGTAGAAAAGGAGGATGCAGGCTGTCAATTGTGACTGGACTCTAAATAGTTATTCTAGAAAAACTATACTCGACAGGAAGTCTTACTGATTAAGTATAAAACAAAACCCCTAAACCTACTGTTACTGAGCTGGTTTAAACACATCAGATTCCATCCAAGGCTATATAAATTCATGGGGAAAACAGTCTTATCTTCCAGAGCATACCTCGTGGACTAGAACTGCCGATTTTTATCCTATGTCACCAAGTTGCTGGTATTTTATATATTTTAAGCCAATAAAGTCAACAAATGACTCTCCAATTCCGTCACTAATGTATCCTCAGTATAAACTGAATTTAAACTGAGTAATATTCTACATTTCAACATATTATCTAAATGCCACCTTCCATGGTTTAGAAATCACCCAAATGGAAATCGTTGGTTCAATGATGTGTCTTCAATTTTACAGAGCACCAGACAACACTAGAAATCTGAACCAAGACTAGACGAAGTATGATAACATTTTCAATTATAATTTCCCAAATCTTTTTTTTTTATTATTATTATTTTGTGTGTGTGCCATCAAATCGTATCTGACTGGTACAGGAGGAGACTGCTCCTCCTTCTCCAGCAGAGCATCTGGTGGATTCGAACCACATTACTCTGGGATTGCTGTGCATCTTCTTGCCACTAGGCCACCAGAGCTCCCGTCCCAATTCTTTTAAGATACATTTCAAATGCCCAATAACTGAGAAAATGAAATACTGTGTTAACTGATTGTCAAAATCTACTGGTGCTTAAAAAGTTAGGCAGCATCTGGATGTGTTTGGAGCTTTCCCATCTCTAATTTTGTTATTTTTATTTATTTATTTTTTTTTTGAACAATGTTTTGGTGCATATCCAAAAAAAAAAAGTGAGGAAGCAAAGCCAGCAAATTTTACTTTATTAGCTACCGGAATATATGAATAAGGAAAGTAATAACTGTTAGAAAATTTTACCCAGCAAACACTGGGCCAGGCAATGTGGAAGATAACGAGATCTACATGGCACTGTTCCTAGCCATTTGTGAACACAAATCTTTCACACTGTCCACTGCACAATCACATATGATTTAGTGAGATCTACAGAGAATCAATTAGGTCTAGAAGTCATCTGGAAGATCAACACACTGTACAATGCATATACCCATACTATCTAGTCTGCTTTCTTGTGTTAAAGGATGATAAAATACATAGTTTTCTTTTCCTTCTCATATTTAAGTGGCATAACCATGTATTCTTTTCTCCAAAGTCATGATGACCACTTTTGACATAAACTCCAGGCAACAACTGCAGTCTGCTGTTTAAGCTAGAATGATACTATAAATATAACCACATTTCTTAAACAATGCAAAACCTTGTGTTACATAATAAGCAATTGTAGAAACATGCAATTTTCAAATTTTCAATTCATGCTAACATGCAATCCCTTATCACCACCACCACCACCACCACCACCATCACCACCACCACTACCACCACCACCACCACCACACCATAATAATTAGCTAAAGGGGGGAACTTTTCATACTGAAGGAAAGATGTAATCACCACTTATTTTCCCCCTAAGATGTACCAGCAGCACTATCCCAGGGGGCAGTGTGTAGAAGCAGGAAGACAATTCACTAGAGAGAATCTCACTGTGAAATCCTATTTTATTCTGTCGCTAGCAAATTTTCTACATCACTCTTTGGGTCAGAACAATGAAACCATGTCCAAAAGAGTAGGAATAATCATTACTACTGTAATAAAATTTTTACAGATTCTAGTTGCTAGGGATTTTGGCAAATAAGAAAGTGGCCAGATAGTCCAATAACAAAAATGTCCAGGCCCTGCCCTGGGTGTGCTCCTCATGCTCCCATCATGGTGTTTCAAACAGACGTATGGAAGAATGTAGACATGGTGTTCTACTTATTTCTAAACTATGAGTTTCCTTGTAACTGAAGGCATAATATGATGGTTTTTCAGGGGTTTTATTATTTTATAATGAGAGTGCTGTTCTCGATAGTTTCCTGTAAAATAAAAACTGCCACAGGAGTTATAGCCTATATTACCCAAATTAATTAAAAAAATAAATATCTTAAGCACCTGAAGATTTTTTAACTGCCATTTTTAAATTAAAAAATAAATACACAATTCACAGCTCAAGTTTTTAATTTAAAAAAAATGGTATAATTGGGTTTTCGCAGATCAGTATATTCAACGGATTATGAAGTAGCTAGGTAACTGATTTCCCTGAAGATTCATAAATTACCCAATTGCTGTACTGTTTCAGTATACAGTGTTTCAGTATGAGATCTTTCACCGCGTATTTTGAAAGCCTTATTTCATACTCATAACCATAAAGAAAACAGTCTTTCAAAATAACTGGAAAGCTCCAGACTAGATAGTCTCGTTTTCCCACCTTAGTATCTAAGACATGGTAATCATTTATATTATCCCAACCAAATCACAAAGTGATGGCAAGAAAATGGATACCATAATCAAAGTTCAATTCTCTGAATTTTCTGAGTAATGATAAAAATGAAAAGATTCTACTTTCTAAATAGCTCTTTTGTGGTGATTACCAATCCAGGTAGAAAAGCTCAGCCCTGTCCTGAAAATGTTACTGAAAAGTCTTAAAATCACAAAGTCACAGCAGGATGATACCTGTGTAATGAATCATAGGACCTGTTGTCAAAAACAATCTGACTTTTCCTTGGAGAATCCCGTCTATGAAGGGAAAAACCATTTAAAGGGATGTACAATAGAACTTTTAGGAATAAATCTCATTACACTACCATTGCATAGGCTTTTTGATCTTAGGAAACAAAAGGATTAAAGGAGTCAATTAACCTGAAACATAAGCAACTTTTCAAAAATTAAAAAGATATTCTAGTTATACAAGACTAGTTTGTTTACTTGATAATTATAAACTACAACACAAACCAGAAAATCCACATTGTGCAGTGGCGACTTTACAGACTGAGGACAGAGCAAAATCTAATACAAAGATTCAGTAAATATGGAAGCATATTCAAAGACATTGCCAATAGAGTACACAGTACGCTATAGATTGAAATAGAAACCACCAGTCAAAATCACTGGTCAACTTGTTACCACGAAATTAACACTGTTCAGGAGTCATGTACAGAATTTTCCTTCCATCTTGGATACAGGATTTATCTTTATAACTTAATAAAAGCCATAGGAAGAATTCATAGACTTCTCTGTATGTTACATCCAAAATTTAGCATTTTTAGCTATGGTATTGTTTTCATTCTACTATCTGATACCTTTATAAAAGAAATACAGTATAATGAAGTATCTTTATGATAAGAGGAACATTAATTCATGTTAGCATTGATGTAATTTTGGTAGGACATTTTGGAGAGAAATGAGTACTTTTTATTCAGTGCCAGAATGAGGCACATTTAAATAAAAGCACAAAAATTAAGTGGCCAATCTATTTGGTTTCAAAAGGAAGTGGGAAGAAAAGTAATCTAATCTGACATCTGTTAAGCATATTTGTTTTACTGAAAGAACTCTAGGAAATGAGGAAGAAACGCAGACAGTGAGAAGCCACCACCAGAAAAAGCAATCAAGAGGAGAATGAATCCACACAAAATGTATTTTCAAAATAACAGCCTTTAAAATATACAATGTTCCTTGAAGTTTGTTTAGAAAGCTGAAATTCTTTTACAAGAATGCAGTGCCAAACAAACAAACACAAAATTAGTTTCCTTCTCTAAATGGATTCAAACAGAGGAAAGAACATGTTAATCTGGAACACTTCTTTTATCTCCTAAAACAGATTTTGCCATCAGATGAAGTTCAGCTATAAGAAAGCTAATGAAGGTATTCCTATGAGTTAAGAGGAAGACTGGAGGAAGAATTCTCCTTGACCAGAATTTAGATCTTTAAGAAGAAGGGCACATCACATCTGCTCTCTCAGAGCATCTCATTAACTCAGCTCTTGTAACACACTACACTGGGTTAGAGATCAATTATGTATATAAGATATAGGTGTGTGCTTTTGCTACTTTCCTGTAAAAATCTGACCATCACTAGTAATTTCTCTAATTCTTACAAAATCAAACACTCATCTTTTAAAAAAACTAAAAGTATCTATAGTAAACCAACAACAGTTTTGTCATGGAGAGTAAAAACTGCCATCATCAAATCTTTCTTAGCATAAAGAACCACAAACTATAAATCCATATTTAGATGCAAGCTAATACGGAATATATTTGTGAAAATATGAAGTATATTTTTATATTTTTTTGTGTTAGGTTTTTATCATTAGAGAAAAGTGAGGTTTTCATGAGGAAAAGCTAAGTCAAATATTGAAAGGTCAAGCATATTTATTCTCTAACTAATAATTTTTCCTGAGAGAATAGAAGTCCTTTAAACTTTTATATAAGCCAAGAAACAAGACCTCAACAGCTGAGACATAAATTTATGCCTAGCACAGCACGCATCACTAAGGAATGCAGACTTCACTGGGCCCTGACTACATGCCCACACAGACACACGCTGCCACGTTAGTACTGAACACCATCTTTTCTACTTCTTTACGATTAGAAGCATCAAGTGAGATGGACAAAGAAAGCTACCTGACAAATTCAAGTTTTGTTACACTCTCTATACCATCTTCTCTCCAGCTGTCTTGAAAAACAAGCAGCTATAAAAAAGTATTATTAGGTGCAAGCTCTGGTGGCCTAGAGGCAAGAAGCTGCACTGCAATCCCAGATGTGCACAGTTCAAATCCACCAGATGCTCTGCTGGAGAAGGAGGGGCATTTCTACTTCTGTCAGATACAATTTGACAGTACACACACACAAATAATAATAAAATTTAAAAAATTTAATAAAAAAGAACTTAAAAAAAGTGTTACTAGGGAGTACTGGGGGAATCTGAATATACAGTATAGGAGGTCAAACGATATTCATTGGTAAATTTCTTGAGAGTGTTAATAGTATTATGGTTACACAGGGGACTGTTCTTACGATAAATACCTTTGTACTCCGAGTAAAACAGAGTATGTCTGCAACAGAGGTTCAAATTATTCAGAGGAAGAAAACAGTGAGAAAGGGAGATATGTGTGTGTGTGTGTGTGTTGTGGAAAGAAAGAAAAATGTACTAAATAGAGTTAAACTAGTGGATAAAAGGAAAGTAATTTTTTCTTTAGTTTTTAATTTCTCAAAATAAAAATAAATTGAGAGAAATTTAAAGTATTCTAAAATCCTAGATAACTTCATAGGGAGAGGTTGTGACTAAACAAGCAGTCTCTGGTGGAAAGCATGAGAATATTCTCAAACCTGTTGCCCTTGGGTAGTGACCAGCTCATAGCTGATCCTCCAGTGGGTTTCTGGGCTGTAAAGAGTGAGTGAGGAGACTGCCTGTCTTTCTTGTGGGGAGTCCCAGTGAATTAGGACCATGAGAGAGGGGAGGCCTTTGGCTTGGGAACTCTACACCACCACAGCTCCCAATAATGGCACTGGGGAAGGAGAGATAAGGGAGGACAGAACCCTTTATGAGGAGGATGACAATTACGGAAACAAATACGGTGGTAAGAGTTGCCCAGCACCGTGAACACAATTCATGGCAGTGAACTGTATGTGTGTGTGCACAGCTAAGGTGGCTCTCTGTCTGCAGAAACAAAATGGTGCCCATCTTATTTACAATTTTCTAATGCTCTACAATTTCCAAATCCCAATTTTAAATTTTCCACAATTGAGAATATACTTATTTCTAAGCACATGCAAACATAAAACAAAACTCAGAAAACTCTGATACCTGGAGATAACAGGAGACTTGCTGCCATTCAACGTATTTGTTCTTTCCCAAGGTTTTCTTGTTGGTTCTTCAAAGGAAAGGAAACAAGTTATTAACATCACGTTACACGTGCATCCAAAACTACTGAAAAACTAGTAACTAAATGGAGCTGCTTTCATAGTTAAAAAAGTAATTTCTAGATCCGTCTTGAAATACAATGTTGTGAGTGACAGGATAATATCCATATGCATACAAGGAAGTCCGGATGAATACCACCCCAAGTATGGAAGCGAGAATGGGAAGCTGTCGCCTCACATACTCTGGGCATGTGACAGGGTGGACAGCACCTGCAAAGAGGCTGTATGCTTGGAGAAGAAGTGGGTGGGAGAGGAATCCTCTCACTGAGGTGGACTGATGGTGACAACAATACAGGGTATGAAGGCAGAGATTGGAAGGTCGGTGCAGAGCCAGGCAGGGTGTTAGTGTGCTGTACATGGGATGGCTGTGAGCCAACAATTAGTGATAAGTAGAACAAACTTTAGCTTAAATATTATAATCTTTAACATCTATGAATATATTATTTTAGTAATTTCAGACTAAACCTAAAAAACTCCTCTGAAGAAAATTCAAATAGTTAAACAAGAAATCACACCAACGTTCAGAATCCTGGAACCCTCTGTGGGTCTCAGATCAGTACGTCTCAGGACTCAGCAACGATCCTATTAAATTCACATTCACTCTAAGCTTTTATTTGGAGCCTGGGTGAAGCTGGTGGTTTAAACCCACCCAAGGGCTCTGAAAGAAAGGGCTGATACCTGCTTCCATGAATCATGGAATCAGTCATGAAACCCTGGGCAATTCCACTCAGGAACCCTGGGGGGTCACTATTAACCAGGAGCTGACAGCTGACAAGCCCTTGTGACAAGCACACTATGTGGTCACTCGCTGGTTAGCTGACTGCTCTGCCCTTCGAATCTTGTTCCAGCTTGGCATTGCTGGATGACTGGCTGACATCAGGAGTGGAATTCATGTCAGTGTCATGATCTCATGTACTGACTCAACAGGGCCCTCTAGCCCCACTTCAACAGCCCCCTCAGCATGGTTCTGCACCTGCCCACTCAGCAGCCTGTTCTTTCTTCAAACTAGAACACCCAGAACTGAACCCCATTCTTCCTGATACACAACCTTTGTTCTGGACTTCTGCCATCCTCAGATATCTTCCTGCAATCTTGCTTTGTTTCTCATCAAGAAAGCAATTCCTTCCTTTTTTAATCCCACCGCCTTTTTGCTCTCTAAACACCAATATCGTCTCTCAACAGCCACCATCATGACAGGAGGTTCCAGAACCGGGCAGGACAGGAGGCATCTACTAACTAGATGAAAAGGCCACAGTCAGCCCACATCCAGTGGACACTTGACAGAATAGGGAAAAGGGAGAAGTCTTGAGTGAAACTGTGGGACATCCTGATAGGCAAGACGCTGTGAAGAAGGGGGCAGGCGGAAGAATGAGGAAGTGACTTCAAATGGATAAGATCTAGCAGACACCAGGGCCCTTTCTCAATCAGCTAAATGAGTCAGTGTTTAGAACAGCACATCTGCTTCTGAGAAAGGAGCCTGAGTCAGCTCTGTAGGGGCAGAGGTAGAGGTGACCCTTTCTGAGGGAACATGATGGCAGGCTCAGGGGGAACAGAAAGGTTGGGTTAGCTTTAGGGGGGCTTCCGAGACAATGAGGACCCTTGGCCTAGGACAGCTTCCAAATGGCCTTTTCCTATCTGAGACCTCTCTGATGCTCACACAGTCATTTTAACGTTCCTAGGACAGGCTGCTGTGGAGAGATGTCAGTGCATACTTGCAGGCAAATATCTGAGGATTCCACTAAAGGCTCCTGCTATTTCGATATTCTGATCTGTTGTCCAACTCTACTTACCAGTACTTCTCAAAAACAATTCCGCATTCTCGTCAGGTGAGTCTACGGATGCATTCTTAATCTCGTCTGCTGATCTACAAATCCTACTAGCATTGCTCCTGCCTCAATTCCTGAAATATCATTCCTTCTACTTTGTGTCAAACTAACATCCTTTCCAGGTACAGCAAAATGTCAGTTTTCTCTTCAAAAATTATCCAAGCCATAGGAAACTTTACTTAGTATTTAAACACTAACTTTGTATTCTATATTTCTCATCTCCCAAAGCTTTGGGGGTAAGGCTTCTTCTCCTTGGTCTGTCAGGTGTCTGACCTAGTATCAATTATGACAAAATGAAACAAAAGACAACCAAACAAAACTAGAGGCCAAAGTGCCTACCCTACCCCTTGCTTTCATAGCAACACACACACACACACACACACACACACACACACACACACACACACATTCTTGTGCTCTGTCACGTTTTACACGGCTCTTGTTGTAGACTGTCGAGTCAGAACCGACTCAGAGCTGACTTTCCAGCGGGTTTTCAGAGCCCGTAAATCGCAGAGAAGATTGCTCATTCATCTCCCATGTAGAGCTGATGGATCTGAACTGCCTTTGGGTCAGCAGTACAACCCCTTACCTACTAGGTTACCAGTACGTCCTCATATTTTAAATAAGGAAATACTATAAGATAAGGAAATCCTTAACTTGAGGTCCCAAAGATAACCCTCAGGACACTCATGAATAGTTTAAAAGTATAAATACATCTGTATTTATAATATAATACAATTTCCCTCCCAGGAGAGAAGGTCTGACTCTTTCATTAAATTCTAAAAAGGAATCTGTAACACTAAGGTGCTGTTCACTTCTCAAATACATGTTTCTAATAATAAAATGTATAAATAATTGTAGCTTAGATGAGTAAAGATAAAGCTAAATTGAGTGGGTCAATAATCAATGGGAATCTACAATGAAGAAAGTAGTATTCAATTTAAATGAAACTGAAATTTAAGTAGTATTCAGAGGGAAAATAAGAATGAATGGGCAAGGAATAGTATTTCACAAAAGTTGCACTGTTAACTATAATTTAGCACTCAGACTATTAAATAGCATTATTCAAAAATAAAACTATGTTTTCTGTATCAATGGGTTGAAGTCACAAAGCAGAGGGGAAAGAATATTTTCTAAAAAAGTGTATTTACCTAAAAAGTTGAATTCTAGAGGAATCTGGTAGTCTCCATAGCAAAATGTGCAGGAATTAATACAGACATCATCCCACTATTTCCTATGAACCATTCTAGTAATTAATTGAAACTTATTTCTGTCATTTCATTCTAAAGTATGGGGAGGAGAGACAAGTCTTCTACTGCTATGGGACGAAATAACAAGAAAACTATAGCAATCTCTTATTTTCATACCGGACACAGTACTCATTAAGTACTTTCAAGTGAAGTAAGTTTAGTTATAGTCTAAGCAGTTCAACAAGAATAGTTCAATTAATAAGTCATTTAGATTTACTCTAAGTAAGTCTATGCTCAGAAGTTCTCAACGTCAGAAATTTCACCAAATTCAAGAATGCTGTCCAAAACTTTAAAGGCAATCTGTGCCACGGATTAAATTATGTCCCTGAAAACTGTGTCACCTTGGCTGGGCCAAAATTCTGTAATTATCCTATGTGTCATAAATCCTCACTTCTATAACATTCGTGGGGTAGGAATAAAGGAAGCTGAGCACTGATGCAATCCCCCTCAGGACGTAAACTGAGCTAATCAGTTGTAAAAGGACTGGGGACAGGGTGGGGATGGGGGGTTATACACTCTGAATCACATCATAGTCTGATTTGATTGATAAGTTTGCCTGGGGTCTAAATCACCTTTTGCCTTAAAAGAGCTAAAAAGAGAAAGAGGTGAATAGAGAAGGGGGGATCTCAGTACCACCAAAAGGAAGATCCAGCAGGAGCACAACAGCCTTTGGACCTGGGTGCTTGTGCTGGGAACCTCCTAAACCAGGCGACACAGAAGACAGAAAGCCTTCCCTAAGAGTCAGTACTCTGAATTTGGACATTTAGCCTCCTAAACTGTGTGAGGTTAAGTCTCTATGTGTGAGTTAAGTCTCACAGCATGAGACAACCCAAGACAATATATATAGGAAACTTTACTGTCTTGATGAGACATCTTAAATGCAAGGCTAAAATGAGAACCTTCACATTGGAGAATGTTTTAAAACAAATAGTACTAGTTATAACATCCCTACTTCATCTTTACCTTTAAAAATTAATTATGAAAAATTCCCTTTCATCTAATAATGTATTCTTTTCCTTTTTCAGTGAATCATCTCAAATCATTAATGATAACATTTTCACAGAACATGTGAAAATGCAGCTCTTGAGAGTCAGTAGAAAAATCTTTAGGTGCTAATAGCTTTCCAATCTACCAGTATCAGAAAGAAAATCATAGTTGTTGGAGAAAATGCCACCAGAATGCTTCTTGGAGATAAAGATGACAAAGCTTCATCTCATATACTTTGAGCACAATGGGAGGAGAGGCTGTTCCTTGGAGAGGGACATCATGCTTGGAAAGGTGTAAGGTTAATAGAGGAGAAAAAGACCCTCAACAAGATGGACTGACAGGGACTGCAACAATGGGCTGAATTATGTCAGAGATGATGGAGATGGTGCAGAACAGGACAGGGTTTCAGGTCTGCTGTTCACAGGGTCACTGTGTGAGTTGTACTTAACTCAGTGGCACCTAACACCACCACAAAAAATAAAAAAGGGCAGGGAACAAAAGTTTATAAAGAAGAAATTTAAAGAAAATAGTAGTCATGTGGTCCAAATAGGGCAAAGAAGAGACACTTAAATTGGGGACTATTAAGTAATAATGAATGTTTATAAATAAAATTTATAAATCTTTCTCTTAAACTTACCCGGTGTACTTGTAGAGGCCTTAGAAGTTATAGGCTCTGAATCTTCCTAAATACATAGAAATGTTTGTTACTATTATCACATCTACGAAGACACACAAACACACCTTCCCTCATCTCCTATGTTCTCTAATTCCCACTCCATCCATCTTTTCTCCCCTCCATTCTAGTTTTCATTTTCCCCTTCTATGCCCACCTCAGGTCCTTCTGTCCTAAGTTCTCACTGAGAACTTGACTTAGTCAGGGCTATGTGGACAATATATGGGAAGTTTGAGGAATGTCAGCAATTAGAGGCAAATACAGGAGGAAAGTTACTCATTTTATTGATAAGTACAAAGAAAATCATTTTATAAAGCTGAGCTTCCCCAGCAGAAATGAAAGGCCCCGCTCTTGATAGTCACATCTATTAAACATTTGGAAAGGACTGATTTACTCTAATTCTCTCATTTTACATGCAAGAAGTGGAGCCTCCAGGTAATGAATAAACTAATTAATGAGCACAGCCTTATTTCACAGCAGGTTTAGGTTCAGAGTCAAGGATATACAAATCTGAAGCTTTGTGCCTTTCTGACATTCAACCTATTTCACCAGGAATGCCATGAAAAGTCTTTACTTACCATGCAAAACAAGGCATGTCTAATATCTAGAGTTAACAATTTCAGTTCAAATTAATAACAATCAAGTAAAATCATCTTTCACAACTTCCTGAGTGAGCTGTGCTGAATTTCACACTGTAAGGTGCACCACTCTCCCATCACTTACATTTCTTTCCTCTTTCTGTTCTGTATCTATTGTTGACCCCTTTTCCGCAATCCTTCTCCTAGAAAGGAGGCAGAGCAGATGTGAAATGATTAGTTTTTCCTTAGAATCCTTTAACAATCTGAAATGATTGGTCTTCCATGAAGGAAATCCTCTCTCTAGTTAAACTGTATCTGGGGGAGTGGACAAACCCCTCTCCACCCCAGCTGTGCTCACATCATGAGATTCATACTCACCTCCTGGCCAGCAGGGCACTCATCTCCTCCATGAGACCACTGCCTCCTAAAGGAAGGGGCCCATTGCCACGACCCGTTTCTGTTTTAGATGAGGCAGAATTCACACCACCAGTGCTCCCTCCGCTTGGGAAAGAGGCATCCTCCATCTTAATAAGAATATACAGATTTCATAAATTGTTAACAAACAACTACACATTTCTTAAACAGTTAAAACACAGGGGGACATTGAAATTAATGGTGATAAAAAGGTCAAAAGTATTTTTTTCTAAAATTTTTCTCAGAACCAGTAAGAATCCCTGTGACGTGGCACATAATGTGTTTGGCTGCCAAGCAAAAGATGTACAGTGTGGGCCCATCAACTGTTCCACAAGACAAACGGGGATAGTCTCTTCCCACAAAGGACGGTGTACAGCCTCAGAAAGCCAAGGAGGTGCCTGGGACTCAGAATCCATTCAACAGCAATGGCTTTCAAGAATCAATGGAATGTGAAGAACCTTAATTATGTTTTAGCAAGGTCAACATCTCCATACTTCTGTAGAATCCTTATTTTCATGACAAGGGTGGAAGATTAAGGAAATGTACATTAAAAAGACTTAATGGATAATCAGAGACTAGGAAAAATGTTGCAATAAAAGACATTATCGAGTTATAGACAACATCTGCATACAGCTTTCTATCACTGTATTTAGTGGTTATATAGATGGATGCATTCATTTTTAAGAAACATACACGGAAGTATTTATATGAGAATGAGAGCAAGATGTCTCTGACTTACAAATAATTCAGGAAAAATGTGTGGGGAGTGTGTATGTGTGAAGGAAGAAGCATGCAATGAAAAAGTAATAAAGCAAACAGAGTCAAATGCTAAATGCTAAACCTTGCAATGGGTTTACAGGTTTTTACATTCTAATAGGTTTTCACAAGTTACTTCAATTTTTTTTTTAACTATCAACAATAAAATGATTGATAAAAATAACACAACAAATCCATTCTTTTAGAGTATTGAGAAATGAGACACACATAAGAAATACAAAATTTCAAAATGTTATTTACCCGTGACACTTTCCTAAGTTTTGCTCCAGCAATTGCGGCTGCAAGCCCAGTTAAAGGACGATTGTCATCTGACATGGATCCCCCAAAAAATCCAGATGCAGGGAGGGGAGGGGCGGGAGGCGGTGGGGGAGGAGGAGGGACCTGGTTCGGAAGAGGGGGTGGAGGGGGTGGGGGTGGAGGTCCCGAGGCTGGAAGTGGTGGAGGTGGAGGGGGACCAGGAGGGAGAGGAAGTGTTGCTGCAGTCTGGGCAGGACCCGGGGGAAGTGGTGGAGGGGGAGGAGGTGCAGGTGGTCCCAACATGATGCCTGAGAGAAAGAAATGTTGCATAAGGCCATCAACAACAGTACTAAGTTATGGCTTAAGTAGAAAGGGATAGAAGAACATCTTAAATTAAAGTAGTTCTCTACAGTAATCTCCTACATAGTAACAAGTTCAAATACTATAATGTTCCAAGTCAACATAAAAAAGATACTCAGTAGGGAAGCCAAAATATACAAGCACCTACATTAACTTTAGGGTTTTATTAATCAACTTGTAAAGCAAACAAACTCATTAGGTTTTTTCTCCCATGAATATTTGGTAAATAAGCCATGTAAATGCTGATGAAATTGAGATGAGAGGTAAGCATCTTTTAAAAAGGCTACTGTTTATGCTGTCACGAGGTGTGACCTGAAACAGGAGAACCAAATGCTCCATGCTCTGAGACCATTCTACAGTTATAAAGGTATTTCATCCCTTAGCCAAGGGCCTGCAAGAAGAGATGGGTTCCGGGCTTCAGTATTATTTTTATGCATGTGTATATATCTTTATCTACCTGAGGAGCTCTGGTGGCCTAGTGGTAAGGAGATGTGCTACTAACCCAAAAACAGAAGGTTCAAATCTACCAGCTGTTCCATGGGAGAAAGAAGGGCAATCTCTTCCTATGCAAATTAGTGTCTCTGAAAACCCACTGGAGGGTCAGCTATGAACTGGCTCCAAAGTGACAGTACATAATATCTACCTATCTGAGGAAAATGCACAATCCCCTCTCATGTAATTTAAAGCCTCTAAACCCCTCCTGGAGGTTGACCGTTGCGTCGGTTCCAATTCGATAGCAATCGATAACAATCACACTGCATGTATGTAGGTATATATACATATACACCCACATATACATGTATGTACGTGCGAGCGCGCGCACACACTCTCTCTCTCTCTCCCTCTCACCTCATGTAATTGTAATGTACCGCCAGGGTTGAGAAACATTAAGCAAAAGATGTACTGGTAGAAAAAAAAAATCTCAAACTTATTCTAACAATGTACATTAACAATAACAATGTACATTAGATGTACAGTTTGGGAAATTTGTTTTGGCTTTTTTTTTTAAAGAAAAGCTTTTAAGGTGATGGTAATGCACAAATCTTATAAAATCATAAAGAATTTACTGAACTAGTAGACCCCTTCTTCCTTATGGCTTCAAAGGGGAAGGGCAGGACAAAGCAACTGCTACCTTGGAGCAGTTGCACAAGGTAAAGACATCATGTGTTCAAAGCGGACGACTGCTACAGGCTGTCAATCTCCCAGGAGCTATTAGGGTCTCAACCTGGAACTCAGGACTGTGCCATGCTCTCCATGCTTCTGACAGTGTTCCTATCACAGGGACATGAGGAGCACATGCTAAAGCCTTGACTGAACCTTTATGCAAATCTATTATGTCAACAATAAAGATGTACACCAGCAGTCAGGAAATGAAAAAGCGTATCGCGATGGGAAAGTCTGCTGTTAGGGACCTCTCTAAAGTACTCAGGAGCAACAGTGTCTCTCTGGAGACTAAGGTGCGCCTGATACAGGCCATGGTATTTGCAATCGCTTGTTACGCATCAGACAGTTGGACAATGACTAGGGAGGACAGAAGGAGAGTGGATGCTTTTGAGCTGTGGTGCTGGAGAAGAGTACTGAAAGTACCATGGACTGCCAGGAAAACAAACAGATTCATCTTGGAGAGGATTAAACCAAGCTACTCCTTGGAGGCAAGGATTCTGGGGCTTCGTCTGACATACTTTGGACATGTTGCCAGGAGGGATGGGTCCTTGGAGAGGGACATCATGCTTGGGAGGGTGGAGGGACGGCGCAGGAGGGGAAGACCCTCTATGAGATGGATTGACTCGGTGACTGGGGTAATCGGGATGGGTGTGTCAGAGGCAGTGCGGTTGGCGCAGGATAGAGCAGGGTTTAGGGCTGTTGTGCATAGGGTCGCTGTTGAGTCGCAAAGGACTCAATGGCACATAACAACAACAACAACAACAGCAATAACAAGGCTTATTTACTTATCACAGGAACTCGGCATTTTTAAAGGTATGTCCACAACCAAGGCCTTAACTCTTTCCTTGTGAGGGAAATCTGTCAGAATCTTTCCTGTAATCCTCCTTAAATCCTACACTTTTAAAAAATAAGTAAATTGCTTACTTATAAAATCAAGTCCTTCTCACTTTACAATAATCCGTCCCTTCCTGTGACTGCAGAGAGGGCGGGCATGGTGTGGCTCTAGTGCCTGTAGGACACCAATCTTGGGACCCTTACCAAGACAGAGTGACCCATTTGTGACAATGGCTTAAGCAGAGCAGTGGTGTGAGGATAGTGCAGGACTGAGCTGTGTTTGCTTCGAATGTACACAGGGTCACCAGGAGTAGGGAGTGACACAATGGTTCCTAACAGCAGCAACATTTTTTCCTCAATTATCTCTTCAGCCCTCCACTTTTGTACCTATGAACTATGGAACCCTTTGTGGAAATAAGCAAGCCTGCCCAATGCTTTGCCCTTCCTACAAAGTCAGGATTTATGGTGGGGCTCATTCCTAGAAGTCCAGTATGGGAAGAGGCCAAAACAGAACTGAATCCAAGACCAGTAATATTCCAACTAAGACTCTCAGATAATCGAACAACTACAGACGGGCACTGTCTATATAGGTTGATGTTTCCCAGAAATTAAAGGGAAACATGTTACTTTGTGTATTTCTTTGTGTAGTAGGCCCAATGTGTACTCAGGTAAAGTATAGTCTCACTGAGATTTCAAAGAAATATAGACATTGAAAAACATCTTCAGATGCCAAGGGCACCAAACCTTCTCCTATACCAAACAATTTCTCATAATGACCCACAAATTACAACTAATCTCACAAGAAGAAATTCCTGCTTTAGTTCATTTGTGTGTATTTGGAACAAATTAACAAAGCTAATACATGGCACTATGGCACAACAGCATTCAACTATCAAGCCATCTTATCTCACTAAGACATACAATTAATTGTCCAGTAAGGGTTGGTAGCAGTAATAAAGTAAGCCTTACCCTGTTGGGCTGGAGTCTCGGCCGGCTGAGAGGCTGCCTGCGAGCCTGGCTCAGGAGCAGAGGGGTCCCCCAGCACAGAGTTTAGAGGAGTCTCAACAGAGGCAGGGGCAGCTGCAGAGGGAGAAGGGAGAACACTAGGCTTGGATGAGGGAGTTGAGGCAACAGGGGTGCTTGGAGGAGGAGAAGCTTGGGATCCACAGTGTGAGAGCGATGCTAGGGAAGGCAGTGGAGGCGGCTGTGGCGGCGGGGCTGCAGGCCCTGAGGTAGGCGGTGGAGACACTGGATACGGGACAGAGTCAAGCAGCCCAGTGGGTGCTGGCGGTGACGGAGGCATGTGGGGCACAGGAGAGGAAACACAGATAGGGAGGACAGGCCTTGGACCAGCAGCTTTGCCTGGGGGGCTGCTAATCATTACTGGAGGAGATGGAGGGAGAGGTGAGAAATTGGAAGTAGACCAGGCACAAGGCTTCGTAGCTGGAGGCTGACAAGAGGGTGTGTTCACAGGAGAAGAAGGCCGAGAGTTTTTGTTGAGAGGACGTGGAACTGTAGCGTAGTGGGGAAGGACGGGGTGGAAGGCTGAGCCTAGAGATGTTGCAAAACGTGTCGCTGAGTGTCGAAGTGGTGGTGTAGGGGGTGTGGTAGTAGGTGGCAAAGAGGTCACTACAGCGTAATCAGAGGTGGCATCGGATACTGGAGCAGAGATGACTTTAGCGTATGATGGAGGAGGTGCTGAAGGAGGCTGGCAACTGGAATACTCAGGAAGTGGAGCATTATACAGGGAACTGTCGGAAGATGGAGCTGGACAGAAGGTGGGAAACAGCAGCAAAAGACAGGATAAAAAAGGAGAGAGAAAAAGGGAGCTAGTGAAGCCACAAAACCAGCATTCAGACCAAATGTAAGCATGCAGACTTCAGTTAGTACCAGCGACTTTAGGCATATGAGCAAATAAATACTTTTATCTGAGACTATTTTCATTTACAGATACATCTGAGATTCAGATGATCTTATTCAATAACTGGTTAAATAAAGGAACTCATCCTATATAAAGAAATAAGTTTATACACTTTAATTTTCATCATTTAGTCTATTATAATTGAAATTGCACAAATAAAACTATAAACACAAGGGTAAGTTGTTTTGTTTTTCCCAAAGCAACAATACTGGAAAAATACATTTATTCTGAGAAGCTAAGCAACCTTATTTTCAAAACTTATTTATGAATAAGTTTTATTTTGTGGCTATGGCCAATAAAATAACTAAGCCATTAAAAGCAAATGAACTAACTCAAGCAACACCAAAAATGACCAGTATTTAATCAATGCACATTGAAACTTTTGATATAAGAATAAAGAGGAATTCTTAAATCCTATAATGAATGTTCATTTTGAAGAATGTTAAAATACCTCTAAAACTTTTAGCTATATCTTAAGTCTTTCAGTAAATTCTACCAGATTTAAGCAATTTTCAAAATGTTGGAAAATTTTTAAACTTAGATTATCATTGTTTTAGAGAGAATATGTTTTTATCTAATGTTTTAATTTGTCCTTCATAAACATTAGAGTAAAATCAAGCACATTTTTTGTAGAATGGTAATATAACACTGTATTAAAGGAGAGTTAAGCAATCTCCTAAAATAAATACTAAATTCATCCAATCTTAAAAACTCCCCACAAAACACATACTTTCCAGCCAATTTATAAGGACTGAGAAGCATCTGAACACAAAGATAAAAATTTCCAAGTGCATTCTCTTAAGTCTCCAAGCAATAAAAACAACACAGAGAGAAATAAAAAGAAAATGCTACTGCAATAAGATTACTGATTATTTTTTGTAATTCCAAGGTGTGCTGCTTAATCCCCAGCATCTCAAGTGAGGAAGTTTAAAGCATGACCATATAAAACGTGGCCCAAGCTGAGCTAAGCACACAGAATGGTGTGTGAGTCTTACCAGCACTGGAGGCTCTTCTCTCACGCTCCCACTCCAGCTGCTCCCTCTCTAACTGCTCCTGCCGCTCCCGCTCCAGGCGCTCCCGCTCCAGCCTCTCCAGGCGCTCCCGCTCCAGGCGCTCCTGCCGCTCCCTCTCTTGTCTCTCCCTCTCCAGCTGCTCTTGTTCCAGGCGGTCCCTCTCCAACCTCTCCCTTTCCAGCCTCTCTCTCTCCATTCGTTCTCTCTCCAGTCTTTCCCGCTCCAACTCCTTCTGTCGTTGCTGTTCTTGTAATTGCCTGAATGGAGAAACGAAAAAGTTCCCCCCATTAGGGTTCAATCAGCAAGAAGTTACTCCCTCCACAATGATCATAGGAAGTATACTTCTGATTCAAAGACCAAGCCAAGTGGGACATTCCATCAGCACTTCCTCTCTCACAAGGAAAAAAGCTGTTTTAGGGATGAGGGGTTTATTTGTTTATTAGCAGTATTTTTTTTGTGATTTAAGTGGAAGTTTACAAAGCAAATTGGTTTTTCATTCATTCATACACATTTTGACTTGTAACATGAAGTACAAATTCACAAATATAACAGAACTTCCCCCACTCCATCCCTCTTAACTCTCATTTCCATCAACCCTTCTATCCTTCCCCTCCTGCCTCCAGGGCTTTTCCTTGGGCAAATGCTGCTCTTCTGATCAGATAAGGTTGGTTATTTTAAAGGTCAGAAGTTACACTTTTGAGAAAAAAGTATTATTAGGATCATTCGAGTTGAATGTGTCAGCACATTTATACTAATGCTTCACTTCTTTCTCCACTTCTTACCAAAAAAAGTTCTGAAAATGAATAAATTTTTCAAACAAATTGAACACAACACTTCAAGAACCAAATACTTTAATAAATTAATGAAACATTTATAAATTTTCGTTCCCTTCTTAAAATGTAACATCAATTTTTAACTATACAGGAAATACATTATATCATTTTGAGGGGGAAAAAACCTTAGCAACAGCTCCAATGTTTGCTGAATGAAGGAAAACTACAATTAAGTAAAAAGAATTTCAAATTATTGGAGATCTCATATTCAGAGGCAAGTATAATGAACATTTTGGTTAAAATAGATGACTGGTTTTTCCTTATACAAAATACTTAATAGAAACAAAGGAAAAGAAACAAAATCTGATTTCCTCACCACAAAATGTGCTTGCTTCTCTTAATACTTAATAGCTTATAAGTCGTTCTAATTAATAATCAAAATCTGCATCTTTTCCTTAAGGTGTGCCTGGTTCAGGTCACAGTCTTTGCTGTTGCTTGCTATGTGTCAGAAAGCTGGACTATAACTAGAGATGACAGAAGGAGAATTGATTCTTTGAGCTGTAGTGTTGGAGAAGAGTACTGAATATACCATGGACTGCTAAGAGAACAAACAGGTTTGACCTAGAGAGGGTGAAACCAGGCTGTTCCTCGGAGACAAGGATTCTTGGGCTTTATCTGACATAACCTGGGCATGTTACAAGTAAGGACCAGTCCTTAGAGAGGGACATCATGCTTGGGAGGGTGGAGAGACAGGGCAAGAGAGGAAGACCCTCGATGAGATGGATTGATTCAGTGACTGGGATCAGGGGGTAGGTGCGTCAGAGACAATAAAGATTGACACAGGATACAGCAGGGTTTAGGGCTGTTGTTCATAGGGTTGCTATGAGTCACAAGCAACTGAACAGCACGTAACAACACTGTGCTTCCGGTTCACTGCCCACAGTTTAAGCAGCCTCTTACAGTTTGTTGTAGGTGATAATACTATGTATTACCACTGCTGTACATTTTCTATTCAGATTATCTTTGAAACTTTTTTCAACTACTTCCTCAAACTCCGAACAGAGTCACAAGATGAAAAGGTATAAACTTTATATTAGAAATAAAAGTTTCTAATACATGGTTCCAAAGGGTCTACAGAAATATTCGTGCCAATGAATACTCCCCAGCAGGATTGATAATGAACTTCATAAGATCCATTTTCTTAAAAATAAATAAATAAATAAATAATCCATTTTCTTTCCCCCAACAGCAGTGAACTGATGGCTTTTAATCTTTGTATTGCACCACTATATAAAAAAGTGATGTTGGAAAACATGAGGGAGACAAACAGGTTATCTCCTCCTGGAAAGAAATCTTTAAAGTGTCAGAATCTGGTAAGAGGTGCTATGATGTGGGATTGACTTAACAGCAATAGGTTCATTTTTTTTGTTTGGTTTGGGTGTTTTTGGGGCAGGCAAGTTCTTGTAATAAGATTATTTAATTATTGATATTTGGCTAGTAGTAAGTGGTACTATAATCCCAAAGGCAGACGTTTTGAATCCACCAGCTGCTTCACAGCAGAAGTATGGGCAGTCTTCTCCCATGCAATTAACTGCTTCTGAGAACCTGCTAGGGCATCAACTATGAATCGGGTCCAAACTGATGATGGCACACAACAGCAAGGACAAAAACATGGTTTTATTTATTTGTAATATTCCACCTAAAATCCATCCTAGCAGTGAGATTTAAATAATACTCAACCTATCCTTTTGTGAATATGGTCAGTCAGCTGTCACACCATCATAGTTGTGGCCCTGATCTAAAATGTTACATATGTACACATTGGCCGCTTCTGAACCTCAAGAACATGCTGGCTCATAGGCCTATATGATTAGGATGGCAAGAGTATCCTGCACTTTTACTACTGAGCTTGACTTGTCCAGGCTGACCCTGGACCAACATGGTTTGAACTGTGTCAGGCCTCTGACAGGAAGGCCTGGTGGCATGGCCAGCAGGGAGGTGCACTGCTACTCACGGGAAGGCCTGGTGGCATGGTCAGTAGCACTGCTAACCGCGGGAAGGCCTGATGGCACCATCAGCAGGGAACCTTGTGGCTGGCCCAAACCCAGCAGTTGCCCAGGGAGAAAGATGGGCCATCTCTTCCTGTGTGAGTTACAACTTTCAAAGATCTGCTGGAGGGTCAGCTGGCAGGACACTGTGACTCAAGGCAATGGGTGAGTGAGTTAACATCTAGTAAGCTCTAGTCACCTTCATTAACAGTTTTGTAAGTTACACAGGAGACTCCCATCTTATCCCTACAGAGCATCTGGTTTGCACTGGGGATGGCAGTACCACTCGTCTACCTAGGCCACTAGAGCTCCCTATCAACATATGTCATGGTGAGATGCACCTCATAGCAACCCTATTAACAACAGATGTGAACTGTGTGTACTCTACCCTGCATAATCCTCATGATTTTCAACAGACTCAATCCCATTGGTACAGTCACTGTGTCAACGCATCTTATTGATGGTATTAATTTCTTCTGTTGACCTTTATCATTTCCAGTATGGTGTCTTTTTCCAAGGTCAAGGCCCTCTTGACAATAGATTCCAAGTATGAGAGTCAGAGTTTCACCATCATTGCCTCCAAGAGGCAAAGTGGTTGCATATCCTCTGAGAGAGGCATGTCAGTTCTTTTTAGCAGTCCACGGGATACTCAATACTCTTCTCCAACATCACATTTCTAAGCCATAGATTCTTCCCTGATCATCCTTATTCACCGTCCAACTTTTAGAAGCATACATAGATGGAACTGAAAACATGGTGGCTTGAATCAGGCACCTTAGTCTTTAAACTGACATTGTTGCTCTTAGGCACTCTGGATAGGCACTTGTATAAATGTTACATTTAGACACACTGGCTGTTTCTGAGCCTCAAGAACATGCTGGCTCATAGGTCAGGAAAGGTTATCATCTCCCCAATGCAACATTATCTTTTGATTTTTGGACTCCTGTTATCATTTGTGTTGTTTTGTGGATCCAAGTGAAGTGAAATGGTTGACAATCTCCATCTTTTCTCTGTCCATTATGATGCTACCTGTGAGTGAGAATTCTTATCTTCCTGATATTGAGATGTAATCCATATTGAAGCCTACAATGTATTCTCTTCTTCAGTAAGTGCTTCAAGTCTTCTTCATTTTCTGCAAAAAATGTTTTGTCATGAGCCTAGCGTAAGTTGTTGGTGAGTCTTGTTCCAATCCTGATGCCAATCTTCTTCATATAGTCTAGCTTCTTGAAGATTTGCTCAGCATACAGACTGAATAGCTATGTAAAAGGATGCAACTCTGATGCACACCTGAATTTAAACCATACAGTGTCCCCTTGTTACTTGTAGATAACAGCTTCTTGGTCTATGTATAGTATTTTCAAAAACACAATTCTGGGCTTCCTAGTCTGCTCACTGTTCCCCATAATTTGTTATGATCTACACAGCTAAACATCTCTATCTGCCATCAGTAATGACATCTCTTACTCCACAGCCTCTTTTGAGTCCACCTTGAACTGCGGACAGTACCCTGTCAATGTACTGTTCTAGTCTTCTTTGAATAATCACAAGATAAGTTTTAGTTGTGTGTGAATGAAACTGATGATTTCCACATGTTTTTGAATCATCTCTTTTTGGAATGGGGTCTGTTATGAATCTCTTCCAGCAGCTATCTTCCAAATTTTTTGGCATAGATTAGAGAGCATGTCCAGAATGGTATCCGTGTGTTTAAATACCTCAACTGGCACTCCATCAACTCCTCAAACCTTAATTGTTTGCTAATACTTGAACTTCTTCATTATTATTGGTTCTTGATCAATGGTACTACCTGAAATGGTTCAGTGTCAATCATTCTTTCTGGTATAATAACTCTATGTATTGCTTCTACTTCTTTTGATGGACTATAGAGGAATCAGACTGACTACATTTGTGGAAAGAAAGAGTCAATGCAGAAGCAAAATGTCAGTCAAAGCAATGGCAGGGGCTTATTGTGAAAAAGGCCATTAGCTATGTATGTACAAGTTCAAACTGAAACTGACAAAAAGGCACTAAGTTTAGGAAAACAAAATGGAATTTTGAGTCTATCCCAATGGAACAGAAAATCTATCTTGAGACCAGGCGAGCTGTGGGATACAATCAAGAACAAGATCCATGAAGAAAACAAAAGTAGGAAAGAAAAACGAAGATAAAAATGGGCATCAGGACAGACTCTGAAACTTGCACTAGAACACAGGCCAAGAGAGAAGAATTGCTGAAAGAAGAAAGAGAAGCAGATGACTTCAAAGGGCAGTCTGAGAAGACAAAGGAAAGTCTCCTAAGGAAATGTGCAAGAACTCAAGCTGGACACCAAAAGGGAGAAGATGCTCAGCATTTTTCAAGCTGCAAGAAGTGAAAACCAAATCCACGTCTTGGGCTGCAATGCTGACGGGGTCTATAGAGAAATTCATGAGTGATGCAAGA